CCCCCCCCCCCCCCCGCTAGGGGTTAGAATTCAGGATTTCTATCCAGTTGGGCAGACAGGTATACCAACACCTGTCCCTGCTCTCCTGGCTATGGGGTCCATGGGTCTCCCTGCGTCCCACTGGGTCCTACAGCATTTCCCCCACCCTCTCTAGCTTTAGGAACTTGGCATTCGGGTACACAAGGGTCTTGACCGTTACTCCCACCCTGGAACTGTGAGGTCTGGCACTCGGGTCGTCTCTTCCCCAGCAAGCAAGCCAGAGGTGCCCCTGCCCTCCCCCAGTGACCCAAGATGAGTACCAGATGCTTTTTGCCCCCCACTCACCCCCCACATCCAAGCTTCAGAGCTCACAATGCTCCTCTCTACGAGGCAAGCCCGAGGTTTCAGGGGAAACCCCAAATATGCCCTCCCCAGTGATGGAACTGGGATTCAGGCCGTGTACTACGAGCAAGCACAGGAACCCAGGGACTTATCCCTCTTTCCCGTGAGGGGACCCCAGCCAAGGGGGTAGGAAGCCTGGATTCTCTCTCCTCCACAGGACCCAAGCTTCCCACGGGAGGAGGAGCCCAAGATGCAGAGAGGGGCAGAGCCCTGGAACTGGGTACTGGAGACCTCTAGTGCCGGGTCCCATGACTTCCATCCAGGTGTGGTGCTGAGAAGGGAAGCCCCGCCCCACCCCCATGTCCCACCAGGGTCCCTCTTCTCCCTGCCCTGTCTGGGGCTTGCCACAAGTCTCCCCGCAGTCTGAGACAAGAGAAGGATCCATGTGTGTGTGCAGCGATGGGTTGTGGGGCACGGCCCCCTCTCACTTCCCTGCCCAGACTCCAAGAGAGACCCCCTGTTCTCCAGCACCTACCTCCACCCACCCTCTGTCCTCACCCCTGCAGATCCGGCCCTAGAAGCAGCCAGCATTTCCACACCAGGGATGCGGCGCTCAGTCCTGGTCAGAAACCCAGGCCACAAAGGCCCAAGGCCCGCTTATGACGAGCTTGACTCTGACTCCGAGGACCTGGACCCCAACCCTGAAGAGCTGGACCCAGAGCCCGACCCAGAAGACCTCAACACTGTCTCCGAAGATGTGGACCCCAGCTATGAAGATCTGGAGCCCGTCTCTGAGGATCTGGACCCCGATGCTGAAGCTCCGAGCTCCGTCTCGGGGACCCGTGACTCGGATCCCCAAGATCTCGACCCCATGTCCTCAAGTTTCGACCTGGATCCAGACGTCATCGGCCCTGTCCCCCTGGTTCTTGACCCCAACAGCGACACCCTCAGCCCCACCGAAGCCCCAGACCTGGACCCCCTCTCATCTAGCCTCACTGCCACTCCCGAGGTCCTGGCCGCCAGCCCCGCGGTGCTTCCTGCGCCTGCCAGCCCTCCCCGGCCCTTCTCCTGCCCCGATTGCGGGCGAGCCTTCCGCCGCAGCTCGGGGCTGAGCCAGCACCGCCGCACCCACAGCGGCGAGAAGCCCTACCGCTGCCCCGACTGCGGCAAGTCGTTCAGCCACGGCGCCACGCTGGCCCAGCACCGGGGCATCCACACGGGCGCGCGGCCCTACCAGTGCGCCGCCTGCGGCAAGGCCTTCGGCTGGCGCTCCACGCTGCTGAAGCACCGCAGCAGCCACAGCGGCGAGAAGCCGCACCACTGCCCCGTGTGCGGCAAGGCCTTCGGGCACGGCTCGCTGCTGGCGCAGCACCTGCGCACGCACGGCGGCCCGCGGCCGCACAAGTGCCCCGTGTGCGCCAAGGGCTTCGGGCAGGGCTCCGCGCTGCTGAAGCACCTGCGCACGCACACGGGCGAGCGGCCGTACCCGTGCCCGCAGTGCGGCAAAGCCTTCGGCCAGAGCTCGGCGCTGCTGCAGCACCAGCGCACGCACACGGCGGAGCGCCCGTACCGCTGTCCCCACTGCGGCAAGGCGTTCGGCCAGAGCTCCAACCTGCAGCACCACCTGCGCATCCACACGGGCGAGCGGCCCTACGCCTGCCCCCACTGCTCCAAGGCCTTCGGGCAGAGCTCCGCGCTGCTGCAGCACCTGCACGTGCATTCCGGAGAGCGCCCCTACCGCTGCCAGCTCTGCGGCAAGGCCTTCGGCCAGGCTTCCAGCCTCACCAAGCACAAGCGCGTGCACGAGGGCGCCGCGGCGGCGGCTGCCGCTGCCGCGGCGGCCGCCGCAGGCCTGGGCCTCAGTCCTGCTTCGATGCTGCGGCCCGGGCAGGTCTCCCTCCTGGGGCCTGATGCTGTGTCTGTTCTCGGCTCCGGCCTGGGCCTCAGCCCTGGCCCCAGCTCTGGCCTTGGCTCTGACCCTGGCTCCGAGCCGGGCTCCCTCCCTGATCCCAGCCCCAAAGCTGTCTCTGGCTCCGAATCTACCCCCACCCCTGATTCTATCAAAGCTTCTGACCCTAAGCCTGGTCACGACGCAGACCCCGACCTTGTGGCCAGCCCTGACCACGGATCTGGCCCCAGCTCCGACTCCAACCCCGAGTCTCATCCCGAACCCTGCTCCCCCACCCATGACACTGTCAGCCCAGCCCTCCCTACTGGCGAGAGTCCTGAGTGGGTGCCGGAGCAAGGGGCGCTGCTGGGGCCCGACGGCTGAAGTGGGCGCCGACGCTCCCGGGGGCCTGGGGAAGTTGTGTGTCGTGCAGTTTAGTAAAATCCTCGCACTGCCTCCTGGCTCTGTGTTGTGGTTTGCCTGTCTCTCTTTTTCCACTAAGGCACAGCCCTTTCCTCGGGAGATGGGGGAGGGTGTGGCCCGTGCCAGCCATAGCTGGAACCCCAATGTCCTGGCTCCCTGCCCCTAATCCTCCAGGCTTCCCCGTTCCCCCACAAGGTCTCACACTGGCCCGCCGTAGTTACCACTCTGCCCCCCAAGAGCACCCTGGCCACCCTAGTCAAGGGCAGACTTCCTTGGCGGGTGGTCTGAACAGGATCCCTTCCCTCTGGCTTTTCTCTGAGTGGTGGAATTTCTGGCATGTTGACAGTCTAGAAGGCTGATAATGGAGGCTGATAGGAGACCTGGCCGGCAGCCCTATCCCATGTGTTCTGTGTTCACACAGCCTACCCCACGCCCTTCACAGCCCATGTTCTAGGTACAGCACTGGACAGAAGAGGCGCTCATTTATGTGTTCAGCCAAAATCTGTTGCTTCCTGCAGCCTCAACAGAGACCAAGATAAGCACGGCCTTGGCCTTCACAGAACTCACAGATGCTAATTTCAGAAAGCTTTGAAAAGCAGTTACTGGGGGGACTGCTCTCCTGAGGAGGGATTCTAGAATCCCAATAACCCACTAATTTAATTGTCAGTGCTGGTTGCCTGGCCTTGCTCTGTACCCTTGCAGTTTATGCTGTCACATTTTCTCTTTTAATTCCACAGCTTCACAAGACAGGTAACTATGACTAAATATCCCCATTTTGCAAACGAGCAACCAGACACGTGGAGTTTAAGGGACTCTTTGGCGGATGTAGAAGTAAGTGGCAGTTGGCAGGGCCTAGACTTAATCCAAACTGTCTGCCAGAGCCTGAGTTCTTAACCAGCGTGCTTCAAAGAGTGTGCAAAGGCCCCAGGGCTGTTGAGTGATGAGCTAGGGGAGATTGGGGCCAGAGCAGAGGGCCCCGGCAGACTGAGGTGGGAGTTTGCTTGTTATCCTTGACCAACGGGAAGACGTCGACAGGTGTGGCAGAAGACTCAACAGGAGTTACTCTTCCAAAATGCTTTCCTGCTGCTGCCTGGACAGTATAGTGCAGGGGGCAGGAGTGGGAGCCTCAGGTCAGGAAGGAAGTGGCTGCAGTGGTCCAGGACAGGAATGTTGAGGGACTCTCGGCTGACGGCCATAGGAGTGGGGATAAGTGGTCCTATTTAGGACACAATTAGGAAATGACATAGATTTGCCGACAGTTCAGATGAGAGGAGCGGAAGCCGAAAGAGACGCGAGTAAGCATGAGGTTTCTGCCAGGCCAGAGAAGCAGCCATGAGACAGGACGGACGATCATCCTCGGACTCTGGGGAGGGTAAGGGGTCAAGCCTTGAACGTGGAACTCAAGAATCCGGCACCGGACGGAGGCGTGGCAAGGAGCCAGGACGGAACCAGCCCTACTTTGGCATTCTCACAGCCAGCCCATCCCCCAGCACCTTCAGGGACCGTCGGCGTTAGGGCCCCAAGACCGCCCTCCGCCCCGCAAGTCGCCAGCCGAGGACAACGCATGCGTGCTGCGGCCGCAGGGATTGTCGTGGCGCAGGGGGTGGGACAGGATCCGGTCACGTGCTTCCAGTGGCGGGGGGGGGG